TGTGGTCCCTAGACGCATGTGGAAGATTGGTTCCAGGACTGCAGCATATACCCAAATCTGCACATACCCTGGGCAACATAGCGAGACCCCGTCTCTACAAAAAATTAAAAAGTTAGCTGGGTGTCATGGTGCATGCCTGTAGCCCTAGCTTCTGGGAAGGCTGAGGCAGGAGGATTTCTTGAGCCTGGGAGTTCAAGGCTGCAGTGAACTATGCTTGTACCACTGTACTCCAGCCTGGGTGACAGAGGAAGACCCTGTCTCTTAATGATTCTTGTGTTACTTTTAAAATATTTTAAAAAATCAACTCAGTAAATGCTCAGTGAGTTCTTTTGTGCCAGATATTAATATTTTGCTATGTGGATAGAAATATGAATAAAATATTTTCCTTCCTTCAGGGGGTGCATAGTTGGATCTTATTGTTCCTTAAAGGTCACTTTGTGGCTTTTTTTGGTCATTGTTTAATGTATTTTAGCAGCATGGCACAGTGGTTCCGAGTGTAGGTTGCAGATAGTTCAAATTCCATTTCAAGCAATTGCTGAGTGACCATGAGTGAATTACTTAACCCTGCAAACATTTTGAGAAGCAGTTTGGCAACACTGTATTTTGAGACACAACCTTTGACCTAGTAAATTCATTTCTAATAAACTATTCCTACAGGAATAATTCAAAATATTAAAGAAATTATTATACAATCATTCAAAAGTATTTATTGAGCTGCTGCTATGTTCTATGTACTTTTATAGATACTTTGGATGCTTCCAACACAACGAAGATCTCTGCCTTTTTGGGGTTTATATTCTAGCAGCAGGAGACAGAACATAATAAACAATAAACTAATTAAATAAGTGAATTATATAGTATGGTGAAAAGTTATCAGCACTTTCACAAAATAAAAAGGTAGATCAGGATAAAGGCAATCAAGAGTACTGGGGATTCTGGGTGAGTTTCAGTTTTATATACATCCATCAGCATAAACCTCATTGAGAAGGTGATGTTTGAGCTAAGACATTAAGAGGGTGAGGGAGTTAATTATGGGATATCTGGGGGAAGAGTTTCCAAACGGAGGAAGCAGCCAGTGCAAAGGCCCTGGAGTGGGACTGTGTTCTGAGTATGTGAGGAATAGCAAGGAGGATAATACGATTTTGAGCTGAGTGAATGAGGAGAGGGTGGCGGCAGATAAGGTCAGACAAGTAATGGAGAGCTGTGTCATTGAGGACCTTGTTTGCCACTGGAAAGACTTATAATGTGTGAATGGGGAGGCATCGAAAGTCTTTGATTAGTGGAATGACATGATCTGACCTAGGTTTTAATAAGATTTCTTACTGTAATGTTGAGAACAAATTGTACTATTATTTTTAATAGTGAGAAATTAGAAATGTCATGAATGGCCACACAGGGTGGAATGGGTACACACATTCTGGTCATATATGTGATGAAATATCATTCAGTCAATATGCTTATGATATAATAATGAGTGAAAGAATATACATTATGTGTTTGAAATACAATTAGAAAAAACGATAACAGTAATATGATAATTAAGCTATGGGCATTATTCCCACTCGATTTTTTTTAATATTTTGTTTTTTAAACAAAGTAACCCATGCTTAAGTCCCATTTGTCTGTTTTTTTGTTGCTTGAGTGCTTTTGAGACCTTAGTCATGAATTCTTTGCCTAGACCAACTTCCAGATGAGTTTTCCCCAGGTTTTCTTCCAGTATTTTTTGTAGTTTCAGGTCTTACATTTAAATCTTCAGTCCATCTTGAGTTGATTTTTGTATATGGTGATATGAAGACAGAGATCCAGTTTCATTCTTCTGCATACGGAAATCCAATTTTCCCAGCTCCACTTATTGAAAAATGTGTCCTTTGCCTGGTGTATGTTCTTGTCAACTTTGTCAAAGATCAGTTCATTGTAGATATGTAGCTTTATTTATGGGTTCTCTATTCTGTTCCATTGATTGATATGTCTAAAGCTAAAAGCTTCTGCACAGAAAAGGAAAAATCTTCAGAGTGAACAGACAACCTGTAGAATGGGAGAAAATATTTACAAACTATACAAACTATATATGTTGCAAACTATATATCCGACAGGGGACTAACATCTAGAAATCAGAAGGAATGCAAACAACAACAACAAACCAAATAACACAATTAAAAATGGGTGAAGGACATAAATAGATTAAAATAAAAGACATAAAAATGGCCAACAAGCATATTAACAATGCTCAAAATCATTAATCATCAGAGAAATGCAAATTAAAACCATAATGAGATCTCACCTTAGCCTAGTCACAATGGCTATTATCAAAAAGACAAAAAATAACAGATGTTGTTGAGGGTGCAGAGAAAAGGGGACACTTATATACTATTGGCGAGAATGTAAATTAGTACAATCTCCGTGGAAAACAGTATGGAGATTTCACAAAGAACTAGAAATAGAACTACCATTCGATCCAGCAATTCCACTACTGTGTATCTACCCAAAGTAAAAGAAATCATTATACCAAAAAGATTCCTGCACTCATATATCTTTCCAGTAACAGAGTATAAAGAATGTTTCATTCCTTATATTTTTGTCAATCTGATGAAAGGCAAAATATATCTGGTTTTCTTTTTCATCTACTACTGAAGTTGAGCATCTTTTTATTCATACTTACTTGTCACTTGCATTCCCTTTTCTATGACTTGTCTATATTCTTTGCTTACTTTTAATTGAGTTGTTTGTCCTTTCCTCTCAAATTTTAAGAGATTTTTGAATAATAGGAATATTATCATTTTTTGTTCATATATGTTATAATATTTTCTTCTAGTCTACTATCTGTTTTTGAATAACTTATATGGATTTATATATATTTTAAATTTTTGAGAATGTATAAACAAATTTTATCTCATTTTCATTCATTATATTTCAATATTCTTTTTGTATTGGTAATCCTTTGTCACTATCA